TCCCGTGACCCGAGGTCAGGGCTTGTTTTCCCGTTTGCCATCGGCTCCTGCTCAAGGCTGCCCGCGGCGGGTGACATGAGTCTTTGGTAGGACACACACCCGGAATAAAAAAGGAATCAAATTAGGAAATGGGCGAGCGGACCGAACAAGGGTTCTCACAAGAAGACGCCACACGGCCGGCGGGTGGACAACTGGACAACGCAGGGAGAAACGGCTCGCACCCCCGGCCGTGACCGCACCGCAGGCCTAAGCCACAGCAGGAGCCCGGCTCAGCCCTGCCGGCAGGAACACGCACCGGCGGGGATGGGGGGTAACCATGGCGGGAGCCAGCCCCGAGGGCCCCCGGGCAGCTGCGACAGACCTGCCCCAGGCCCTCCCGGTGCCTCGGGCCCTGACAGGGCGCCCTATGTGCGTGGACGCGTCACCACGAGACCTTTGTGCAGCTAACGGACACTGGTGAAGTGGCCGCCCAGCTTCGCCCACAACTTGGGGGTCTTTCTCTGCCCCCCCCCGCCTCAGCCTTTCCACCTGCGTGGTCCGCTCTGCTGTGTGTTCAGTGCTGACTGCTCTGCTCCCCCGCTGGGGGGAGGGGGGAGCAAGCACAGAAATCACTTTTGGGTGGAAACTTTCCAGAACATTTCACCAGGGCCATGGGAGACCTTTCCAGGACAGAGCCTGCAAGACAAGAATGCTCCTTTACGATCCCAGACCGACAGCCGCGGAACCAGCCCGGCAGGGAGGAACGAAGGAGCAAAACAAGTCCGATTTTCAACGTTTTCCTTTCCAGGCCAACTCGCAGCTTTCCAGCTGGGGAAATCCGGCCCCCCCACCCCCCACCGTGAGACCTCCGCGGCCGGCTCTCCCTGGAGAGGGGGGTGGGGGGGTCAGGGCCTGGGTGGCGGTGGTGGTGCGGGGGGGGGGGGGGAGAATTGGAGCTGGAGGCCGTGGGAGCCATGGTGCGACCCCCAGCCGTCCCGGGCCACCCCACAGGGTGACAGCTGTGACACAGACCAGCTGGCCGACTGTCTGCTTCATTTGGGTAAAAGTGGGCGTGGCTGCGGTCGATGGCTTCCGAGGGGGAAAAGGCTGGCGCTGCCGGAGCCCGGCGCTGCATAGTGCTTTCTCTGCAGCCTGTGGTCCGTCCGTGGTCCGTCCGCAGGCCCCATGGGGAGACGGGCAGAGCCCAGAGACCCTGGGAGGGGGCCCTGGCCCTGGTTGGAGGTCACCCGTGGCTCTGACTATAACACGGGCCTCCAGAGGGTGCCGCTCCTGGCCCACGGGGTGGGGTGGGGCTTCCTGGACCAGGGGGTGCTCCTGCTGTCTTTGGAAGGGGGTTCAGAAGTTCCTTCTGTCCTGGCTGTCCTCTGTGGGCGGCGGGGTGGGGGGCTGTGGTGTGACGCTCCAGTGATGTTCTTTCTCCGCCCTCAGATCTTGTCCCGACGGCCACGCCTTTCCCCGAGTGCCTGGTGTGAACTCTCCCGTGCGCCCGTCCTGTGGTGCGGGCGGTGTTGGCGAGGAAGTCGGGAGCCAGGACAGGGACCAACTGGACCGAGGCAGCGGGGAGCCAGTGAGCTCGCTCCTGCGAAATCCACACACATCCTCTCCCGTCCCATCCAGGGGTGGGGTCTAGAAGGTTCTGCTCCCCTGTTGGGAGCAGGGAGACGTTGAAGTCCGGCTGCCTTGCAGGAAGGAGATGGACGCGGCTTTGGACGCAGCTCAGCGGGTGGCCCGGGTGCGTTCCTGATCGTGCATTAGCACGGAGCAAGCTTTCAAGTCGGGGTCACTGTGGGGTTCACCGGGCCATTGTGGGGGCTGGTGTGGGCAGCTCTCAGCACCCGGGGTGACCGTGCAGGGCGGTCTGGGCGGCTGACACAGAGACGCAGGCTGGCGATGCTGTGTGCAGGCCTCCACCCCGGCTGCCTGCTGTCTACACTGCGGGCACTGGCGTCCACAGCACTGACTCCGCCAGGCGGGTGTATTCTGTGTTCACGGACACGTCCCCAGGACACGCCTGACTATGGCTGGGGACTACTGTGATGCGAGATGTGTCTCTCAGGAGAACACCGGGGGCGTACAGAGAGGGGACCATCGGATAGGTCATATGTGCTGCACACCCGTGCTTCGATAGACCACATGCCAACACACGTGAGCTGATAGATCCCAGGCGCTGTACGCACGTATACACGGGCGATTAGATAGATCACGCGTGATACAATCAGATCCAATAGGTCACACACAGCACACACATGTGATCGGACAGATCACAACGCTACATTCACATGTGATCGGACAGATCACACAAGCTATACATGTGCGATCTGGTAGGACACATATGATCTGATGCACGCTGTACAATTGTGTGCAATCAGAAGGGTCATACCTGCTTACACACTTGCATGTGACCCGATGGGCCACACGTGTGTGGGATCGGGTGGCTCACACACGCTACATACATGTATAGGATCTGGCACGCACACTTGTGTGTGTGATCCGATAGATCATACATGTCGCATACTTGTACGTTGGAGAGTGTGGTGTAGATGCTGAGATGAACTGCTTTGTGTGGCACATGCTTCCTCCATGGGGAGGATTACATGCGTGTGTGACGCAGAGGGCTAAATAACAAGCAGGGTGCGGTCCCGTGGGTGTCACAGCTGAGCCCCCCTCATGGATCTGGGGGCGGATACAAGGGGGGAGAGGGCCGGCGAGCGGCCCTCCCTCCACTCACTTCAGGCTCCTCCGGGCCAGGAGGAAAGTGCTCTGTGGTTCTCTGGCGGTGTCTACCTCTGTTTACCCACAGTGCGCTCGGGCCGGGCTGTGGGATTCCTCATCCTCCGTTAGCGATTCCTGTCATTTCTCTAGAATCCGCCCTCACCTCCCTCATCTCCTCGCCGCTCTGCAACACACGCCCATCTGTCTTCTTGGAGATGCAGGGTGCTCCTCCTCCCCCAGGAACGCAGATCTGGCCGAGGCCGAGCGACGCCGCGGGGATGAGGCTTCTCAAACAGCCCAGCCCGCCCTGCCCGGGGCACAGGGCCAGGGTGACGTCCCTTCTCCCAGGAGCGCCGCTCTGCCCTCTGCGGGCACGTGGCGCCTCGTTCTGCTGCACATGTGGGGTTCTCACTCAGAGACTCCAGGCCCCGTCTGGCTCCGTCCTCTGCGTGTCCAGTGGCGATGGCCGAGGTCCTTGAACAGGTATCTGTGAAATGGGTCTCTGGGCGATGCCGTCCCCAGAGCATTGCTGTGGGTGCCGGGGTCAATGCTGCCACTTGGTCTGGCTCACAGGGTGTCGCCATCAGCGGGGCAGCTCTGGGTGAGAGCAGGGAGTCTCTTCCAGGTGCCCGGGGCTGTTAACTCCTTCCAGCGCACAGGGAGATAATCTGGTTTGGTTTAACACCTCCTGGCTCAGGTTACAAAACCTCCACCACAGGTGGCAGCACTCCCTGTGGGGGTGGGGAGCTCAATCTGCAGCCCTCAGAGCACCAGATCAGGTCCAAACTGCTCAGCCTCAGGGGCAAAGCCCGCCCCCCATGCCGGATCCTTCTAGACTGAGCTTGCATTGGGTGTGTGAACCCCAGGCATGCTCATGGGGGTGTAACTCACCGGGAGCCGCCTCCCCGCACAGTCCGGGCAGAGCAGAGCCATTGGGGCTGGAAACCGGACCAGCCTTAGCAGGGCTGCGCGCGTCACCCGTCCCCGACAAACAAGGCCGAGAATCTCCACCCAGCTGTGCGAAAGGCTGACCCCTCCACCACAGACACCGCTTTCCACAGGACACCACAGCCGCCGGGGTGCCAGCGCCCCAAGCCCACCCGAGAAACGCCCACTCACACGGCAGTTACCGGGCCACCTGCCAGATGCCCTTCCAAGCGCCCACCAAACCATCCTCCAAGTTGGTCCTCACGGCTTCCTCAACACTGCGAGCTTCGAACACACAGACACAGACACACACTGAGACAGAGACAGACAGACCGACCGACGGACAGATTTCTCCCTGTCTTCCAGTGTCACTCCTGGTGTGACAGGCTGGGCACAGGACTTGCTGGGGAGGGATTCATAGTTCTGCCTGAGAGGGCTTTTTGTTTTTCGATCTGGCTCCTGGGTTTGAACTCAGAGCACTGGGTACTCCTGACTTTTTTTTCCCCCAACTTACTGGTGGGCTTTTCTGCCCAGGCTGGCTTCTAACCACGACCCCCAGCTCTCTGTCTCCTGAGCAGCTAGGATTAAAGACGCGAGCCATCCGGTGGAGGAGGGGTTTTCAAAGACATAAGAAGGTGAGGGAGTAAGATGGACACATCTGGGAAGAGCTGGTGTGGAAGTGCCACCTGCTCTTCCAGAACGGTCCCTGGGTGCTGGGTGCCCTCTTCCCTGGGCCTTGTGCCCTGCCAGCCAGCGATCTGGCTTGAGCACCTGGCCTCAGCCTTCAATGACAACCTCCTGACTGCACTTGGAGGAGGCCGGGCCTCTGCTTCACACCCGTCTGAACTCACTTTGTGCCCTGCACACTTAGCCCCTGCTAGCTCAGCCCTCCTCCACACCGGCTTGGCTCTGTGGCACAAGGCAGATGGCTTACCTCTCTGTTTTTCTCCAGTGCACTGGGGGCCTCGAGACAGGCTCAGAGCGGAACGCAACGCGTGAAGGCCCACGCTGCCCAGCCACACCCCTGCGGGGACGCTCCCTCAGCCCACACCCCCAAAACGTAGCACACGCTCAACTCCCCCTCCTCCCCATCGCAGTTCAATTATCCTCTTCAAACATTTCAGCTCAAAGGGATGATCTAAATGCAAATAAATAATCCCGGGGCTTAGCATTCCAGGCGGCAAATCCTCCTTTAAACCAAGCAGCCATCGCCCCCTCTCCAATCTTCCTCAGAGGGAGACGGACAGACAGTGCTCTATCTAACACACATACACACACACACACACACACACACACACACACACACACACACACGTCAAGGTCACGCCCCCGGCTTCAAGGTCATGGTGGCCTCTGTCTCTGCCTTCCCTGTGAGCATCTTAGTCCCCCCACAATCCAGCCCTCCTCTGTGAGTCCCCTTCCTAACTCCACCCCAAACCTCACACCTGGGCCGGGTCCTGCACTGTGTCCCCTGCCCTTGGTCCTCCACCCCCCGCACCCATGGCCCTGGCTCTCTGTCCACAGAGGAAGAGCCCAGGGGTGAGGTTGGTTTCTGTTTCCTCGGGGAGAGAACACCGTGGCGGGCTCCGGTGAGACCGCGCGCCGGGGCGCAGACTCACAGCAGCTGCAGGGACACGAGCCCGTCGAACAGCCCCTTGGCGATGTCGGTGATCTTGTTCCTGTACAGCACGCTGGAAGAGAGCGCAGGACACAGTCGCCCTGGGCCCGTTCTGAGCGGCACCGCCTCCCAGCCTCCTCCGGCCGCCGGGGCCGGGGCCGTCTCCTCCCAGCCTCCCAGCCTCCTCCGGCCGCCGGGGCCGTCTCCTCCCAGCCTCCCAGCCTCCTCCGGCCGCCGGGGCCCGTTCTGAGCGGCACCGCCTCCCAGCCTCCCAGCCTCCCAGCCTCCTCCGGTCGCCCTGGGCCCGTTCTGAGCGGCACCGCCTCCCAGCCTCCTCCGGCCGCCGGGGCCGCTGGGCAGCCGGGGCCGGCTCCCATCTGCTTCCCTCGCCCATCCAGGCAGCCCAGCCCACCCATCGCCCCAGCGTTACACTCAGGCTGTCAGAGGCAGGGCCGCTCAGGCCCAGAGGCTGCCCGGGTGCAGGGTGGGGGTGTGCCCGGTCCTCACGTCCCGGGGAGGGGCACCCTCGAGGCCCCCACAGGCCCAGGACTCTGCCTTGATTTCCTCCTTCCCGCCCTGCGCGTCTCCCCTGACCGAGACGTCTCCTAGTGTTTCAGCAAACATCTTCCACTCCCTCTTATTCGATTTTATTCAGGAAATCACCCGATGTCACGTTATAATGTTTGTTTTAAAAAACGTATGCCCTTCCTTCACCTGCTCCCAGAGTACAGTGACAGGATAGTGTGTTCCCGGCTGAGCCCTGGCATGGAGAACAGAGCTGGGCCCAGCATATTAAGTATGTTGGATATATGGGTGGATGGGTTGATGGATAGATGGATGGGTGGATGGATGGAAGGATGATGGATGGATGGAGGGATGGATAGGTGGATGAATGGAGGGATGGATGGGTGGATGGATCATGGATGGGTGGCTAGACAGACAGATGGATAGGTGGATAGATGGATGGGTGGATGGCTGGTGGGGATGGATGGATGATGGATGGGTGGATGGATGGATGGACAGATGATGGATGGATAGACAGATGGGTGGATGGATGGACAGATGATGAATGGACAGATGATGGATGGATGGATAATGGATGGATGGACAGATGATGGATGGGTGGATTGATGGATGGATGATGGATGGGGAGATGGATGGATGATGGATGGATGGGTGGGTGGATGGGTGGGTAGATGGGTGTATGGATGGATGGATAGGTGGATGGACAGATGGATGATGGATGGATGGATAATGGATGGATGGACAGATGATGGATGGGTGGATTGATGGATGGATGATGGATGGATGGGTGGGTGGATGGGTGGGTAGATGGGTATATGGATGGATAGGTGGATGGACAGATGGATGATGGATGGATGGATGGATGATAGATGGATGGGTGGGTGGATGAATGATGGATGGGTGGATGGATGGATGAATTATGGAAGGGTGGATGGATGGGTAGATGGATGGATGTGCAGGCTCGGGGTGAGGGCTCTTCAGCTCCGTCCCGAGCCCCTCCCCAGTGGAGGCCGGGTGTGTTTCTGTGCCCTGTCAGCTCTGTCCCGTCTCCTTGGGAATGCGAGGCACAGTGTGTAGCAGGTGTCTGGCGTCTGTCTGCTCCACTGGCCAGAGCCTGGGTCAGGGGCGAGCAGCGCTGGCAGTGCCCGCCCGGCTTGTGCTGCCCAAGCGGCCCGTGGTCTGGACATTCCTGTTTGCTCACCAGACTGTGAATTCTAACTCCTCCCCGCCCTCTCCTCCCCCGACTCCATGTTGTGTGAGCCAAGCCACCTCGGACCAGGGCAGACTCCAGAGTGCTCACATCTGGGGTCTGGCAGCCCCTGGTGGTGGGGCTCCGACCCCTCTCCATGCGGGCAGCCCACATGCTGGAGATATCAAAGCCAGGCCCAGCACACGGAAGAACGGTCACCGGGTTGGATTAGAGAATCTGGCAGCGGGCAGTGAGCCTGTCTCCGGGGTGGTGCAATGGGCCCGAGGCATGTGTGTGTGTGTGTGTGTGATGATTCTCCCCTGGGGGTCTCCCCTCGACAGCCCTGTCCAGCGTGTGGTGGAAGGGGACTGAGGCCAGACCAAAGTTGCACTGGGATTAGAAGCCACCGTGGATGGGAAGCAGGTGGGCACCGAACCGATGTAAATAAAGCGCTTGTGTGGCAGGAATATCCTCCGATCCACTCCCCAGGAGCAGTTTGCTTCTTTACCAGGTTGACAAGCGTGTGCCTGGATCAACGGCTCCCCCTCCCCACGTCCCCCCACACCCCCTCCCACCCCTCCCGCCCTGGGCCCCCCCATCCCTCCCCCACTCACAGCGAGGTGAGGGATCTCAGGCCCTGGAAGGCGTCGGGAGCGATGTCGGAGATCTGGTTCTTGCTCATGTCTCTGAAAGCATCAAGGAAAGGCCAGGTGAGCGTGCGCATGCGTGTGGCAGACCCAACGGCGGCGACCCCCCAGGGTGCGCCCGCCACACCCCACCGGGGCTCCCCCCCCCCGTCGGGCGGTTTATCTCTTCATGGGGCGAGGGAGACGCCGAGAGTATCCTCCCAGGGCCTCATGGGAAACTCCGTTCCGTTTGTGCCATTCTTAGCCATAATGCTCCTACCTGTACCTACCTCCTGTATAGCTGGGTTTATGGAAGTGAGTCATTATGTTGAGATGTGTGTGTGTGTGTGTGTGCGTATGTGTGTGTGTGCACACGTGTGTGTGTGTGTTTGTGTAACTCTCAATAACTTCTTGACAGGGCTGGCTTTAAATTGTGACCTTCTGATCTCCAATCCCCGATCTCTTCCCGCTGAGGAGCTGGGATTACAGGCGTGAGCCCCCACACTCTGCCCACCTGTACCAGTCCCCTCTCTGTGCTGCCGTCAGGGCTGGTGGAGGGGAAATCGAGGCCCGGCAGTGTAGCAGTGGGGTGGGTGTGCACACTGGGGGACACTTAGCCTTTTCCTTCTTTTATTTGTTTTTTAAACTCAGGGTCTCACGCTGGGGAGGCCGGCTGTCCACGGCTGAGCTCCACCCCTAGCCCTCGTTACCTTGAGATGAGATCTCACTTCTCCAAGGAAGAAGAGGAGGAGTGCAGAGAACTCTTTTTTTTTTTTTTTGGTCAGTTGTGGGGCTTGAACTCTGGGCCTGGGCGCTGTCCCTCAGCTCTTCAGCGAGTGCTCTACCACTTGAGCCACAGCGCCACTTCTGGTTGTTTATTGGAGGTAAGAGTCTCACGGACTTTCCCGCCTGGGCTGGCTTTGAACCGTGATGCTCAGATCTCAGCTCCTGAGTAGCTGGGATGACAGGCAGGAGCCACAGGACCTGGCTTTTTGTTGGTTTTTTGAGGCAGTAAAAAAACTCTGTCACCCAAGTTCACCTGAACTCACCATGTAGCCCAGATCTGCCACTGGACAAACTGTCTTCCTGCCTCAGCCTGCTGGGTGCTGAGATTACAGGCATGCCCTATCATACCTGGCTGGAAAGAGCTCCTAACCCAGCACTGGGCCCTCCAGGACTGTCAGGACCCCCTCTCTCTAAAGCTGGGGCAAGACCTGGGTCTACTCTCCCAGCATCCGGCTGTTCGGCTTGGATGCTAGCTGTCACCGGGGAGTTCTGTTTGTCGCACACTGGTGGAGGGTACTGGGGCGGGTCACTCTTAGGGACGGCCACCCAGGGTCCCCAGGCCCCCCGCCTGGCCTGGGGCCCTGCCTCAGCCTGGATTCCTGAGGTTCCGTTCAGTTCCTTACGGCCGTCCCACCAGCCGAGGTTGCATTCACTTTTGGGTCACGACTGAGGTGGGCGGATGAATTCTGAGTGCACAGGTCACGGCCACTCCCACGGGGTGAAGGCAGAGACAGTGACACAGGACCGTGCCCTAAACCGCCAGATCGCCACCAAAAATCCTAGCGGGGGCCTGGCTCAGCGGTGCAGAGACAGAGGCGCCATCTCTCAGTGGGATTGCCATCGGCTGCGTCATCCTGCTGGGCTTGAAAAGTGAATGGGGAGCCGGGACCCTGTGCTCACGCCCATCATCCCAGATACTCAGGAGGCTGAGATGTGAGGATTGCGGCTCAGAGCCAGGTACGTCCGTGAGACTCTCATCGCCAATAAACCACTAGAAAACTGGACGTGGCGCTGTGGCTCAAGCGGCAGAGCGCTCGCCTTGAGCTGAAGAGCTGAGGGACAGCGCCCAGCAGCTGGGGTACGGGAGAAGAATGACCGGGGTTTAAATATTCAGGCCCATATTTATATAGCGCTTGCAGCAGGACCATGGGGAAGGAGAAGGGGGGGAGGGAGGGGAGAGAAGGGAAAGGAGAGTGGAGGCACACAGGAAGTTAAGCGCCACCATCATGACTGTTAAAGTGCTTAGTTCAGGCTTGTGATCACTAAAGCCGGCATTAAAATTAGCCATGCAGAGCTGGGTGCCGGTGGCTTATGCCTATCATCCTAACTCCTCAGGCGGCTGAGATCTGAGGATCGCGGTTTGAAGCCAGCCTGGGCAGGGAAGTCTGTGAGACTCATATTTCTAAATAACTAACCACCCCCACCCCCCGCCAAAAAAAAAAAACCAAAGTAGAGCTGTGGCTCAAGTGGTAGAGCACCAGCCTTGAGCAAAAAGCACCAAGCTCAGGGACAGCACCCAGGCCCCGAGTTCAAGCCCCAGGGCCGGCGCACAGACAACACAGCAATGGGGGGTTTGGAGGCTGACTCCCTGTCTGCTTGCACACAGCTCTGCTCAGCGCGAGTGGCGGGCGAGGGAGGGGCTTAGCTTTGCACGTGGACGCTCGCCTTATAACTCCCATGGCCGACGCTGCAGAACCGTCCCTCCCCGTCTGTCATCCGGAGCATGGGCACGTGACACGGCGCAGGTCACCCCCCAGCCCCGAGACGTTGGGGCTCACCTCTCCCCAGGGAAACACACTCACATGCGCTTCAGCTTCTTGTACTGGGTGAAGGCTCCCGCCGGGACCGACTTGATGGCGTTCTGTTCCAGCCGTCTGGGAAACAAGAGCACAGGAGGGAGAGGTCATCAGCAAGCACCCGACATCTCATCACCAGAGCCCCGTTCTGGGTGCCGGGAGACAGTTGGGGAGGCATCTCCGTGTCTGGGATACTGCGGCTGAGTGGCGGGGGAGGGGGATGGTGTGGAGCAGGTGAGAGGCAGAGAGGAGTGGAACAGGATGCACGGGTGTGAATCTCGAAACCTGCTGCGGGCCTCCGAGGCCTCCACCACACAGCTCGCGGCGCCCGCGTCCACGCGGCCGAGAAACAGCCTTAAAGCCTGCAGGCTCCAGGCTGAGCGTCCTCAGACCAGGGGGCCCAGGGTCCCAGGCTGGACCACTACCCCCAGGTGATGTGGGACTCTGTCCTGGGCACGGTGGGGCCTTCCACAACCTCTTTATTCCATCAGCCTGCAGAGTCAAGGCCGCCGCAGGCCCAGGATTGGAGGCCGTGGAGCCTGGGACCCTCCTCTCCCTTCGCTATGCCTCCAGCGACTTTTTTTTTGTTGGTCATGGGGCTTGAACTCTGGGCCTGGGCACTGTCCCTGAGCTCCTCTGCTCAAGGGATAACTCCACTTCCAGCTCAATTGGAGATAAGTCTCTCGGACTTTCCTGCCTGGGCTGGCTTTGAACCATGATCCTCAGATCTCAGCCTCCTGAGTAGCTGGGACGACAGGTATGAGCCTCCCTATTTTCACCCAGCACAGGTGCAGCAGGAGCTGGGCAGAGCTCCGTTTCAGACCACGGAGGACACCTGTGTAGGCAGATGCCTCCCGGACCGGCCGCCCATCTCCCTTCTCCCCGATGGCCAGGCTTGTCCTCATCTCCTTGTTTGTCATGGATGGAGACGCAACACAAGGTGCGTGTGGAGGGGCCCTGGGGGGGGGAGAGGGAGGGGTGGGGAGGGGAGGGGGGAAGAGGCCACACCCAGCCAGGGACACACATTTCCCTCTGGGCGGAACCCACTGATCTCGGGAGGGAGCCCCCTGTGGAATGGGGAAGACAGTGCATTCCTGTCTCTGCTCATCCCTGGGAGAACCGGGCCTGCGGGCGGAGCCGCAGCTTTCCCATTTCAAATGACATCTCAGCCTCGAATGTGGACACAGACAGATCACTCCTTAGGGGAGGGGCAGGGGGGCCGGGGGAGGGCTGGGGAGGGCCGGAGAAGCATCAGGACAGATCATTCTTGGCTGCTGGGTGAATAGAATTTACACACGAGCCTGCCACGGTCTGTTAGCGAAAACCTTTGTGCCCCGTCTACCGGATGATGGGGGTCTCAGAGATGGGGGGGCGGGGAAGTGGAGGAGGGAGGGGTGAGGGGGGGGTGGCAGCGACGGGATGGGGTCAGGGCTCCGTCCAGCCCGACAAGTTCCAAGGATTCTGTGTTTCCCAGGTAAGTGCAGAGACGCGCTCGGCCGGGCAGCAGCTCCGTGGGGCTCGGGGTGTGCTCCAGGGACACCATGGCTGGTCCGCCAGGCCGGATGAGGCCCCGGGCACTCACTGGCTGTGCAGCAGCAGGCATCCCCTACCCCAGGCCGGGTGTGGGCCGGCCGGCTCCCGGCAGCTCCTACTCTGAGCCCAGCCCAAGACGTCTGGCACAGATCTAAGCTGGATAGACCCGTCGGATCCCCCCCACACCCGGGGGGGCTGGCCGATGGCTGTCGGTCTTTCCTTACGACCGCCTGCTACACTGGCCCTGTTCTCAGAGGAGGAAAAGAAAACCTTCGATGGGACCAAACAACCTGCCAAGCCTCTCCCGGATCCCCGTTGGACCTTCCCACCTCGGATTTGGATGAGAAGCCAGCCTCACATCTGGGATACAGCGAGCTAGTCTCCCCGGAAAGTAATTCCGGGTGACGGGGACAGAGCGCTGGCGTCCGTACACGCCGTCACGTCAGGCCAACAATTGTTTCCGAGCTCCGGGCTGGCACACTGTCTGTCTGTCTGTCTCTGTGTGGCGGACAGTCTCTGTCTGGCTGCAGACAAAACAAGCCACGCACGGGGCGTTTCCCGGCCTCTGCGAGCGCCCTGGGCGTAGCGGGCGGATGCCAGGCACCGCGTCGGCCTGCCCGTGTGCCTAGCTGTGTGCAAGCCACCGCGCTGTGTCGGAGGGACTGGGGGACATGTGGCGCGGGGGCCCGTCCGCTCGGCTCTGACACACGTGTGGAGCCGAGTGCAGATGTGTCGGCATAATCGCCTGCTGTTCACAGAGGGCCCATCTTATTCCTTCCCGCAGCTCTAGGACGCGAGCTCCAGGAATCCTGTACTGGCCCGTGGATCAATCCTATACTCGCCACGAAAGGAATGGAGGCCTTGGCTCCCTTGCTGGGAGCTGCCAGGGGCCTGAGGTTGTTTGGGAGAAGTGGGGGGTGGGTGGAGGGGGGTGGGTGGGGGGGTAGAGGAGTTGGGGGAGGGCCTGCTGTGGGGCCCTGGATTCTTGTGTTACAAGGATGCCTCTAGAGGGGGCTGCACCCCCAGTTCCAGCTCCCCGCTCCCTCCCCCCCTTCCACCCATCTGCTGGCCCCTAAAGCTAAGAGGACTCGAAGGGGTTAGGGCAGTTCTAAGCCACACATCCTTTTCCATTCCAACCAGGGCAAAAGCAAAACCCTCAGGTGCCACGATCCGGCCCCTCACTGCTGCTCTGACCTCTTCCCCTACGGCCCTCACGGAGGGGCGCCGACCCCGGGGCCTTTGGACATGCCTTTCCCTCTGTCCACTTCTCCCAGATGCCAGCGTCTCACGGCTCGCTCGCGTCAAGCCCTGTCCTTGCCTGACTTTTCTATCACATCCTTACACACTGCCACCGCCATCCACCCCACCGAGGCCGCAAAGGTCGAAGGCTAGGTCTCCTATGCTCACCGCTGGCCGTGGGCCAGACGTAGCCGCTGACCATAAACAGGCGTGATGCCTGAGCTCAGACCTGGGGAAGCGGGGAAGAGGTTCCGGAATGTTCTAAACGGTCCACTCTCACGGCCGCGGTGCGGGCAGCCTAGCGTGGGACGGGCTGGGCAGGAGAGGGGCGGCGGTGGACGGGACACTCACATTTCCACGACGCCTTCGGGCAGGTGGGCGGGGATCTCGGTCAAGCCTTTGCCTCGACAGTCCACCACGTGGTTGCTGCAGGTGCAGGCGGACGGGCAGGAGAGGGAGCTGGCGCTGCAGGACGGAGCCTCCGCAGGGGGACCTGCAGGCCGGATGGGGGTCACGGTGAGGGGTGTGCAAGGTCTAGTACTGTGCGCCAAGTACACAGGCCAGGGTACTGCTGCTAAGTACCAGGTGATAACGACACAGGACAGTACTAGGACTTAGCACTACGTCCACGGCTGCTTCCACCCACTGCCGGGTGCTTTTCCACCAGGGATCGTCTCTGGGCTTTTCTCTTTCCACCTCCACCTTACTGTTTGGGGACTGTAGGGATGGAGCTCTGAGACCTGCAGGGCTGTCATCCCTGCAGTGTGTGTGTTGTCGGTCGTGGGGCTTGAACTCTGGGCCTGGGCGCTGTCCCTCAGCTCTTCAGCGAGCGCTCTACCACTTGAGCCACAGCACCACTTCTGGTTTTCTAGTGGTTTATTAGAGATAAGAGTCTCATGGACTTTCCTGCCCGGGTTGGCTTTGAACCACGATCCTCAGATCTCAGCCTCCTGAGTAGCTGGGATGACAGGCGTGAGCCACTGGTGCCCAGCTGAGTGTGTGTTTTTTTAAAGTGGAACTATATCCCAAACCCAAGCTGAGCGAGGCCCCGCCCCCGACTCCCTGGGAAGTAACTGGCTGAGGGGGTGGGGTGGGGGTTGCTCCAACTCTGCCAACGCTGGCGGCCAGCGCTACATTTCCAGGCATGCCTTCAAGGTAGGAGAGCTGCTGAGAGAGATTCCTTAACCAGGCTGCTCCCGACCCCCGTGAATTACATGGAGACGCGCCAGGGGAGGGGGGCCGGGTGAGGCCCCCCGGGCATGTATCCTGCTGCTGCTGCAGGGCCGGGATCACTCCTCCACACCCGAGCGCCTGTGAGTGGCGGGCGAAAGTCCCGCCCTTCCCCTCGTCTTGGGACAGCCTGAGAAGAGGATTCTTCCAGGGCAGCGGGTCTGGCTCCCGCTGATGGGCTCTCAGGACGCTGAACAGGGCGGGGGAGGCAGAGCCGGACAAGCACAGGCTGGGTGTGAGGGCCAGCTCACCTGTGACCCTGGCCCAGATGCCCGCAGGCCCTGGAGGCCGGAGGTCACCAAGCTCCGGAGGAAAGACTCTGGACAAGCTCCCCCAGCGGCCATCGTGGGCAGGAACCTTGCAGAATAAGCAAGTGGGGAACGGCCCTGACCCTCATCCAAGAGCCCTGCTGCGGCACACACCACCGTACCCCCAGAAAACCCCCCCCCCGACGTGGACCAGGACGCTGAGGGGCAGAGGGAAGGGGCAGCCGCCCCCCACCACAGCCACAGGATGCTGCGCTAACATTTCGGGGCGCTGGGCTTCTTCGGTCTTCTCTGCGAAGAGCCTGTCCTTAATGGGACAGAACGCAGCGGCCCAGTGGCCTTGGGGCCTGGGGTGCTCACTAGGCCGGGGAGCAGGTGCAGGGACAAAGACCGAGTTGGCTAAGAGAACATGAGGAGAGCAGTGCTCTCGTGTTTATTTCTGTTAGAAAATATCACCCAGTAGAGCACACAGAGTTAAGAAACAAAGTGACTCCAACGGCCTTGTAAGTATCTGGAAATAAATTAATTCCAGTATTCAAATTAAGCTTCCCTATGGGCCTCTGGCCTTTCAAAAGCCAACAACAGACCACTGCGATAACAGAAAACTCCAGCAATGATGATGAGAATATAAATGAATGTGATTTAAATACTAGAGGCATGATAATTTTGGAAATGGCTAAATAAACCTAATAATCTCATTCCTGCAATGTTCAATTATGGCGTTTTAATTAAAACCTCCTAAGGAGATGGGTGGGCAGTCCTGGCTTACCTGAATTATCTTTGTCTGTAGTTGCTAGTCCTAAATGAACAAAAGAAGGGGGTAAGGAAGAAGGAGAGAAAAGGAAGAAGGAAGGATGGGGAGAAAACGTGCTCATTCCAAGGGAGAGAAGTGTATCTCATTTTTCGCAATAAAGGGTGCGTGTGTTTATGGAAAGGAACTGAGGCTCAAGCACTGCCCTAGGCAGGAAGGCCCCTGAAAAACAAAGTTGGGGGTGCTCGTGAACCATGTCAGGAGACACAGTGCACCTGCCGTTATGAAGGCCACCGAGGTGAGTCTAAAGTGGGTAGACAAACCAGACAGGCTCCAAGACCTACAAAGGGAGCGGTTCACTAGTTCACGAATAGCCATAGATGACGGACTGTAACAGGTAGGGACTTTCAGGCCAAGCAGCTGGAAAACACCCCACAGAAAATAAATTCTAGGATTGAAACTCCCACACCAGCCCTTAGATGAAGTCTAAAAACCAAACAGCACACACAAAGAACAACAAAAAGCTGGCGACTCATAAGGCAAAGCTCTCCTCTGGTCTATCAGGAACTCGACAAAGATCTGGTCTAGCTAGTTCAGGCAGCAGGTGGGTGTCACGGCTCCCGGACCGTTCTAGCCCTGGCACCCTAGCCTTGTGCATGGAACAAAGGGGAAAGCCTTCGGAGGTTCCCCAAGAAGCTGAGAGTGGCAGGTGCATCCCAGATCATGCATAGATGAGAAAGCAAAAGAAAGGTGTATTTCCCACCCTGGGGAGAGCAGATGTCCACTCCTGGAACAGGGTAGTTGATGGAGGTGACGGATGTTGCTAAGTGTGCTGGTAGCCAGCCTCACCGACTTGCTAGACAGATAAAGAGTGGTGTCCAGGGCCTCTGGGAGAAGAGACCTGGCTCCAGACAGCTGGGTTTAATTCACAGAGATAACCTGGGCTGGGTCGGCAGGGCCCCTCCCAGGCCGAGGGAGAAAGATAACGCACCTTCCTGTCTGGAGTTGTGCGCTTGGTACTGGGGAGGGATGGAAGGATGGGTTGGGTAGATGGATGGGTGGATTGATGGTGGATGGGTGGATAAGTGGATGGATGGATGGATGGGTGGGTGGATGGATGAGTAGATGGATGGATGGGTGGATGAGTGGATGGATGGATGGGTAGATGGATTGGTGGATGAATGGATGGATGGGTGGATAAGTGGATGGGTGTGTGGATGAGTGGCTGGCTGGATGCCTGGGTGGATGGATGTATGAATGGGGTAGATGGATGGATGGGTGGATAAGTGGGTGGATAGATGGATGGATGGGTGGATGAGTAGATAGATGGATGAGTGGATGGGTGGATGGATGAGTACATGGACAGAGGGGTAGATGAGTGGATGGATGGGTGGATGGATGGGTAGATGGGTAGATGGATGGATGGGTAGGTGGATAAGTGGATGGATGTGTGGATGGATGGATAGAGGGATGAATGGATGGATGAGTGGATGGGTGGATGCACACCTTCATATCTTGCACCTGCCTTGCTGCTGAGTCGTGACCTACCTTTTTTCTTTCTTTCTTTCTTTTTTTCTTTCTTTCTTTCAGCATTTCAGCTCAAGGCTAGCGCTCTACCACTTGAACCACAGCACCACTCCTGGCTTTTTCTGCTTATGTGGTGCTGAGGAATCAAACCCAGGGCCTCATGCATGCAAGGCAAGTGCTCTACCACTGAGCCACCTTCCCAGCCCTGTGACCTCCCTTAAAGAGCTCTCGTCCCCAAGTTCTTGCCGGAAGCGTCCTCCGTGAGGAGCGAGAAAATGGATTGAACTGGCAGCCCGCCTCGACCTGAGAACCAGCGACAGGCGGCGCCCCGCCAGGCAGCTGCATTCGAATGCCAGCCTGGGCCGTGGGCAGGGGGTGGGGTCAGCACCCTCCGTGGGTGCTGTGTGTGGTCAGTGTGGACCCTGCCCTTCTCTGTGAACGTCTCCTTGGGGCCTCCTGACTGACCGCTGTGGTCCCAACCGCGGGCCCCGGGCAGCGTGCGCTCCCCGCCGGCAGTCCCTCACGCGGCCTAACCACTGCCGAGGGGCGGCAGAGGGCTCGTGTCTGCACCCCGCCGCCGCTATCCATGGTGGCTTATTTGTTGGGGGTCCAACGGTCCCCTAGACCACCCCACCATAAAGTGACTCTGTCCTTCTCCAAAGGAAGCTGCCGCGGCGTTTGGGTTTTTAACTCATTTAAAGAATGCGCCCTGACGGCAGGACGGGTGTCTGCTAACAGCACACTGGAGTCTGGAATCTGCTGGAAGCTACCGGCATTGTCCTAAGTGACCATCAACACATGTCTATGTAGCTAACCTGATCTGCGGCTGCTCGGAGGATCTGGGGGGGCTGGGGGCCTCTGGGCGCCGGGAACCTCGGGGGGAGGGGCCGTCCAGGGCCATGGGTTCCACCCCAACATTGCTGGTCTTTGGATGGGAAGTTGTATCCAGGACAAGGTGACAATCACAACAAACACATTACACCGGCACCGGCCTCACCTAACTCTGTGTTTAACATTGTCCCTAATTAGTACCCCCCCGCCCCCGCTTCCCCCAGCTCTCAGACGACTCCCGCACTCTGCAATTATTTCCTACTCAGCACTTAGGCCGGTAGGCGAACCCCATGTCTAACAATGACCGTCATTACAGCCGCCGTGTTTGCTTGGCCGCCTGTGAGATAAATGGTTTGATTATCTGTGTTTGATGGGAAGCAATTTCTAAGTGGGCGTCTCTGAGAAGTTACGGGGATCCTCCTCGGATGTTCCGAAGAATCAAGGATGGTGGGAGCAGCAGAGAGTGGGAGAGGAAAGGGAACACAGGGAAATCCGGGAGCAGGGCGGCTGCGGCCTAGGGAGGAGATGGGCGGAGCCCACCCTGGCCACGCTGGGGCTGGGAGCCCAGAAGCCCTCTGAACAGCTCGGTCAGCTCCCGGACTGGGCCAGCCCCTCACACTCAGCCTTCACAGCCTCCCATCCCAGGACTCCCGGGCTCCCGGAAAACCTGCAACTGAATATTTCCTTTGTTCTCTCTCTTTTCCTTTCCTCCTTCCCCCTTTCTTTTCTTTTCCTCACCTTCTCCTTTTTTCCCTTGGGGGGAAAAATACCGAGAGGCAATCTCTACTTCACTGACCCAAGAAAAGGGAAGGGAGTGAGTGGACATAGAGGTGATCAGTAGAAAACGAGAACACATAGGCAGGCGCATTTGGAGTCGGTTTTCAAACTACCTCTTCTGGGAGGCTCTGTGGCGGCCCTCGGCTCGGTCACCCTCAGCCGCACGCAGGTCCGGCTCTGAGGTTTGCCCAGCCTGGCTTGGGGGCTTCCACGCCACCCTGTATCTTGCTGGAATAACCTGCCCCCATTGGCTGGGCAGGCACCCCGGGCCCGGCGTCAAGCGGGAGCCGGCACGCGGCCGGTCTTCTCACCCCATCCTGGGAGCTCTGCGCTGCTATTATTTCTACAGCGGAGGAGACGGGACCTCCTGAGTTATACCCTGCACGTCAGGGGCAGAGCTATGATTTCCAGCCAGGCTGGAAACACATCAGGAGCACGGGGGCGCTGTGGGATCATCCCCGTCCCCGGGGAGCGTCCAGCTTTACGGACACCTCGGCGGCCAGACGTCAGGAGCGTCCGGGAGGAGGTCGGCTCCCATACGTGCTGGACTGGGGGATGGGCTTGAGGCCGGGGGGGGGGAGCGAGCCCGGCAGCCTCACCTGGACACACGTACTCCTTCTTCTGGACGTCCGCCACGTTGAAGCCTCGCAGGTGCACGGGAGCCATGCAGAGCGTGAACTGGCCCACCGTCCTGCGCTGGCGCAGCCAATCGGAAAGCCAGGCCAGGTGACAGTCGCAGTAGAGGTTGTTGGAGTGAAGGCGGCTGGGGAGGGAGGGGCGAGAGAGAGGGGGCGTCACCGTGGTGAAGAGGGCCACGCCCCTGCCCCTCCCAGCGCCGAGATGCCCAAGAGCTGGAGGAGGAGGGGGAGGACGGCGCTCTGTGCGTGGGGAAGCAACTGGGGCCGCAACGGCTCTTCCTTTGGAGCCCACCCCTGACAGGTGCCCGGGGCTCCGAGCAATCTCTTCTCCACTGCAACTCCTCTCCCGACTTTTCCCACTCTGCACACAGGACAGCTAGAGTGACATTGTCGGTGACCAGGCTGGCTGGAGTCCCGGGTCCCCTCACCGTCCAGCATTGGCTGGCGAGAGACCCAGGGTGCCCGCCACGGCCGGGCGCTGGGGACCCGCACGGCTGCCACCCGATCTCAGCCTTCCTCATTTCCTATGTGGCTTTGGGGGTCCACTGCCCGGGGCCCTCCTGTCCCTGCCACGTTCACGTCTACCAGGGGCATTTGTGATGCTCACCGATTCCGGAGCCTCTGAAAACCCCAGCCGCTCAGTGCCTGGACTCCCTCCCGCGGGGGGCTGAGTGTGGCAGCGGGCCAGAAGGACCGGCCGCTGTCCCCCCAGGGAAGCGCTCGGCCTCGCAGCTCAGCGCTGAGTGACAGCGGAAGGTGGGGCTTCGGCCACCTTGCTGCCCGGGACAGGAGAGGTGGAAGGCCTGGACGGCTGTCTACCAGCGCCAGGCCAACACCGCCCAACGGTGGCGAGTTCAGGCTGTGTGTCGTGGTCAAAGCCATCCGTGGCCATGAGAGCTCGGCCGGCCACGATCTATCGTCGCACACAGAGGAGAGCAGGGGTGAAGATGGGAAGGGAAGGGAGGCACAGTCCTGAGCCAGGAGGGCGGATGGATCACTCAGTGAGCACAACCACCTTGCTCCCGAGGGGGCTCGGCGGCGTGATTTCAGGAGAGGAGGAAGCCTTCTGCCCCTCGGTCCTCCCTAGACATGCACATAGCGTGGGCAAAGGGACCAGGAAGGACCCCACGCCCGGAGGGCCCCACAGGTTAGAGTGCGGCTGTTCTTCACGTGCCGGGAAGAGCCAGAGCTGAGCCCTAACTCAGGAGGGCGGTGTCTCCTCTGGCGGAGCGTGGTAATCGCGGGCCTCACTACCAGGAACGAACTCAGCCGCACGTTCCTCTCCGAAGAAATGGAACAACAAAAATGAGCTTTTGGCTGGGCGCCGGCGGCTCCCGCCTGTCCTCCCAGCTACTCAGGAGGCTGAGATCTGAGGATGATCACGGTTCAAAGCCAGCCTGGGCAGCAAAGTCCATAAGACGCTTCTCTCTAAATAACCACTAGAAAACTGGAAGTGGAGCTGTGGCTCAAAGTGGTCGAGCACTAGCCTTGAGCGAAAGTGCCCACAACCATCACAAACAACAACAACCCAACTTTTTTTTTTTTTTTTTTCTGTGATAACCAGAACATTTTAGGTTTGGAAGCCCAGACCGGGACTGGTCCGCTCTACAAGGAAGGAGAGCAAACGGCCTCCGGCGAAGGTGCCTTTTAAGCCGCAGAGGCTAAATTCAATTTCTGGCAAATCTGTTTAAGACGGGGAGGGGCGGGCTGGGGCTCATTTTCTATAAAATGCGGCTTTCTGAATTCGATGTAAAAGCTTTCTTGTGGCAATCCCATTTATGACTTCCTTCCTCTCTCCTCCCCCGTCGCCCTCCCCCTCCCCTCCTCCCCTGACCCTCCCCTCCCTACTTTAATTACAGGGCAGGGGATTAGTCAGCCCGTCTCCAAGGAGTTCTGCATGGAGCCATTTCTGAAATTAAACTAAAGAGGAAACGGCAGCGGGGCTGGGAGCGCAGGGAAGACCAGATTGATGGGTTGATTGAACTCAGAGGATGAGTGCTTGGACCACAGAGAACTGCGGGACCAGAAACTAGTGATAAACCCTGCCGCCCTTCCCCCGAGACACCCCAGAAAAGCCCCCTGGGTGCTGTGGCCTGCACCTCCCCTCAGGACTCCTCAACGAAGGCCCCCAACACGCTACCATCAAGGACCCCAGAACGGCAGCCCGGAACCATCCAACCTCCCTGCCTCACCTCCTCCACAGCGGCCCTGAGGCTCAAAGTGGGGGGGCTGTAAGTGGGGTGAAGGGGAAACAGGAAGCGCTCTGGGCTGTCTTCCAGCCTCCTGCCTAGGGCCTGCAACTTTCTACTTCCCAGCTCACGGTGGAGGGGGGGTTAGGGGGACTGGGGGGCAGGGGGTGAGGCTGGGAGCTGTGTAGAGGTCTTTGGAGACCAAATGGCTTCTTACAATTCTATTGACGGGTCTGTCCTGTTTTCAAAGGGAGAGGAACGGGTGGATTTCCTGGCTGGGCTAGGCTGTCCTCTGAGTGTGTGTGTGTGTGGGGGGGGTCCCAGGAAAAGGTGGGAGAGCAGATATGGAACCCCAGCAAAAGCGGCCGGAGCTGTCACTGTTCCTTATTTGTCATCCGCACACGGCATACCGGGAGCTCCACAGGTCCCAGCCTGTTCTACTCTGACCGATGACGGAGGCCTGGTGAGCTTGCTGTGCGCCAGGGCGGGGCCGGACCCCCACAGCCCCTGGCCCGGCCAGCTCCAGGCTGTCCTCGGGGTCTGCTTATAAAGCACGTACTGGGGCTGGGCACAGGCGCCTGCCTGTCATCCTAGCTACTCAGGAGGCTGAGGTCTGTGGATTGTGGTTCAAAACCAGGCTGGCAGGAATGTCCGAGAGACTTATCTCCAATCAACCACTGGAAAACCAGAAGTGGCGCTGTGGCTCAAGTGGTAGAGGGCTCGCCTTGAGCTGGACAGTGCCCAGACCCACAAAAAAAGGGCAAAAACAAGCATGGACAGGTTTTCCCATCAAGGTCACCTGGGCCAGGCCGCTGGGTCACAACCACAGCGAAGTCCCTCTGCAGAGGCCTGGGGTGTCCCCGGAGGGGTGGAGGCCGGGTCCAGGACAGAGTGAAGTCCACCCCAGAGCTGGCTCAGAGTCGGCAGTCTGGGGGGCCTTGCCGGGGGGGGGGGCTCCCTGGTCACACATCCCGGTGACTCGGACTGCCGTGAGTCCGAGGGGCTTTGCTCTGGAAGCCGCAGCCTCCAGGGGTGTTGATATCTGGTGGGCTGTGTTGCTGGGGCCTGGGGGGGAAGGGGAGCAGGGGGTTGGACAGGCTTGGAAAGGTCGGTCCTGGCTCCCAAGTCTGCTGGGAGCAGAACAAGATCGCATGCCCCCCCGGGTCCCCAGAGCCCACGAAGGGCCAGCTCCCCACGGCTGCCGCGCTCCAAATCCACCACCACGAGCCCTGCCGGCAGCGAGTGAACCCCAGGAAAGGCCGGCAGAGCCGTCTAAGCGGGAGCCACGGGGGACGGGGGGCTCCTGGCCAGGAAATCGGGGAGCCGGGGTGTCCGTGTACCTACAGCAGTGGTGGGCAGCACGGGAGACGTGCTTCCGGCACACGCCCAGCCCAGACACCAAAGACAGACCGAGAGTCCCGCCTGTATCGGGGAGCAGGGAATGTGGTGAAGGGGGGCTCGGCGGGCTAGAGAGGGACAGACAGACAGACTTCTCCTCCCACTCTGTTCCCAATGACAACCACTGCGGTAAGACAGGGCCAGGGCCACTGGCTGGGCCGCATGCCCGACACCCGCACACATCAGAGTTCCACAGACGCACCAGCGGTTTCCCACCAGAGTCCAGAGAGCAACAAACACACACAACAGAGACGCTGAGCAGCCCCGAAGAGGGGGTGGCCGGCGGGCCCCTCAGGCACAGAATGGCAGACCAGAGCCACGGTGGCGCGGGCACGCTACCCTGTGCCCGTCCCCGGGCCTCTGTTCACCCCTTGGCAAGCAGCATGGGCACTGCGGGGGGCGGGGGGGCTGCCTGGCCAGGGGAGGGGGAGGACCGGGGTGGGAGTGGGGGAGGGTACTCACAGAGTCCGGATCTTGGGCATGTGGTTGAAGCTGGTGACCAGGATGCGGCTGATGTTGTTGTTGTTGAGGGTTCTGTGGAGGAAGGAGGCCATGGTTAATGAGGGAGACTTGCGGTGGGGTGGGGTGGGGGGAGATGTTCCCGGAGGGGTGGGTAAGGCTGCAGAAGGGACCAGTCATCGGTGGCCACAGCTGCCCCGCGGCGGGGCGGGCCGGTCCCCAGATGGTGACAGACCCCTGTGGCCCCATCCCTCAGGGACACCCCCTCTTTCCTGTAACAACCCACTCTGCGTAAAACCCCTCCTCCTGGAGTTCGGCTGTGCGTCCAGTGCGCGTCCTCCGCCCGGCCTCGCCCAGCCCCGAGGCTGCCGCTCACAGACAAACAGCCCGGGCTACAGCAATGGCAGGGACAGGATCGGAGTGCAGCCCCTCCCACACCCCGGCTGTCGGGACCGAGGTGCTGCATTGCCAACTTTTCCCATCCCGGACGGAGACTTGCTTGGCAGCTTCCTCTGTCCAGAGGACCCCTGCCTGCTCTCTCAGGACACACACACACACCTGCCTTGGCCTGGAACAAACCTGGCTTTCCCCGTCCCGGTCAGCAGATGAGGAGTACGCCCAGGTCCGACACCAGCCTTTCATTTCTTCTAGCCGTCGTAGGAGTTAGTTCTAGGCCACATGCAGAAGGCTGACTACACTGCCACAAAACCCCTGACCGTCCTGATCCTCGAAGGCCAGCCTCCTTCAGGAGGTCGGGCAGCCCCTCCCAGCCTAGCCTCCGCCTCGCTGAACACACGCAGGCCTTCCCGTAACGGCTTCCGGCAGCAGGGCAGCTGCGACGACTTATTCACGTATTATTACGCCGACAGTCAAATGTGAGCGTCAGGAGGGCCGTGAGACATTTACCGTAATAGCTCTGAGCCCAGGACCAAAATGTCGGAGCACAGGATTCAGGCTTTGATGATAATCTGCGGTGAGGAACGGGCCGGCCCGAGCCGGGCGTCCCAGACCTGCTGCATGCTTGATTCTCCGGCAGCCGAGAGGCTGCCTCACCAGAGAGCAGATCGGTCTGGTTTTGAGTCTTGGCAGCGTTTACCCAGGCAGAGAGTGCCGCGCTCCGCAGCCGTCTGCACCTTGTGTCCTGCCTGGCCATCTGGCATTCAATGGGGGAAGCTGGCCTTGGCTGCCCAGCGCGGAGGGATGGTGGTAAGAGTGGGCTGCCGCCATCCTGGCCTGCTTCAGGGTCTGGCTCTGCCCCCCCCCCAGTCCCGCAACCCTGCTGACCACTTTCTCATTATGTTTCCTCCTTTCTAACGGCGCCCATCGGGTAGGGCTGGCCCAGTGCTTAAGGGGAAAGACACGGCCAGCTGACCGGCAGGCTCTCCTATGCCAGGCAGGCTCTGGGGCTAGGGGCTGCATTGTGCCACCTCGATTTCATGGGATCATGATCTGAGTCCACGCAAGCCGGATCCCAAGGTTCCAGCTGCTGCTATTACAGATAGGCATGGCTGGCTGGCTTAAACTTATTCTTACAGGCTGGACTGCACTACGTCCGATGTGGGCTCCTGGGGCTGTTCCTCTAAAGTCTCCAGTGGGGAGACTGTATTTGCCTTTTGTATCTTGTAGAGGTCACCTGCATTCCTTTGCTCGTGACCTCTTCCTCTTCCTCTTGCGATCTCTCTGTGAATCTCTGCTTCCTCTCTCTGTCTGTCTCTCTCTGTCTCTCTCTCTGCACCAGTCCTGAGGCCTGAACTCAGGGGTCCGGGTGCTGCCACTGAGCTCTTTTGTTCAAGGCCGTTGCTCTACCACTTGAGCCACAGCTCCACTTGCAGCTTTTGAACGGTTCATTGGAGAGAAGAGTCTCACGGACTCTCTTGCCCTAGCTGGTTTTGAACCTCGATCCTCAGATCTCAGCCTCCTGAGCCCAGGTGACAGGTGTGAGCCGCCGATACCCAGACACGCTCTCTTTGAAGGAGCCTCGTGATTATATTTAGGGTCTCCGGGGAACAAAGGATGACCCCCCTCTCTCCTCAGATCGGCAAGTTAATCATAGCTGCTGGGACCCCGTCTCCTTTCCCATTGTTCTCTCTCTGTGTCTGTTTCTTTCTCTCTCTACCTCCTTTTCAAACCCCTCCCTCCCTTCCTCTCTCCCTCACTTCCTTTTTCTCTCTCTCCTTGCTTGAGACTGAACTCAGGATCCTGCACACCTAGGCAAAAGCCCCTGAGTCACTGAGTTCCATTCCCGATCGTTGGGGTTTTGGAGACGGGTTCTCATGATGGAGTCCAGCCTGACCTTGAACTCTGGTCCTCCTGCTTCGAGTCCCCGGAGTCAGTTGGTTCAGAGACGTTTGGGGCTGCCTGCCCTCCCTCCTTTCAGAAGATACGAACTACTGCATGCGCATTTCAGTGCAACCTGGAAGCAGACACGGCTGCCTCCCCCCTGAGATCCCGAGGCCCCAGCCTCTCCCCTCCCGTGTCTCTCCCCTTTATAATATGGAATTTATTCCAACTTGAAATTCGACTCCCGTGCTGGTCCGAGTTCTCTCCGGCTTAGTCACGCCCGGGGTGTAAATACCTAACCAGAAGCCGTCGTTTCCACGTGGAAGCCACCCAGGCGGGCATGCCAGCCCGTCTTGATTGCACACTAGAAAGGACCTTGGATTGTTGCTTCCCTGCCCCGCCCCCCCCTGGCTGCTTAGGATCAGAAGACCAAGCATTACTCCCCAAGAGTGCAGGCAGAATACCCCAAAAGAAAGACTGTGTGCTTCCTGCCATCTCTAAGCTGAAGATGGGGTACTGGGGGAGCACGGGGCTCCCGGGACATGACAGGTGCACCAGGAGGTGGCACCGGCAGTGCTGGCTCCGGGGGCGTCCCGTTAAGTCTGTCTGGACTGGTGCCTCTGGGTGCCAGCATCTGCTAGAGACCCGGGCAGCCTGGCGGTGCCGAGCTATCCACTCCCCGGCTTTTCTAGAAAATGTTGGCAGGCAGTGGGACCGGACCTCCTCACTGAGGTACAGCGTGCGGCGCAGCGCGGGAGGGGAGGCTCCCGGGTGGAGGGGCCGCGAGCGGAGCTCTGCTGCGGCTTCCGTCTCTCCAGATAGCCATCTTTGTGGTGCCGGAGCGGGGCCCGGCCACGCCACCCTGGCAAACCTAATCAGGCTGACATTTCCCTGTGTCTCCTCTGATTAGGCCATCGCTCTGTAACTCCGTGCTTTTCCTGGCTCTGGGTGTCGGTTCTGTGCCGTGGGCCCGTCGCGCTGCATAAGTGGCTCTAATGCAGCCGTGCGACCCGCTGGCGTGTGTCCGGTAAGTGCAAGGTGCCTCTAGACCCCTCCCTCTGGGGAGTCTAGAAGTCTGGGACCCCCCTCCCCCGGGGAGAGAGATTTTCCTGGCAGCCGGGCTTGTTCACTTCCTGTCACGGCAGGCTTGCTTCGTCCCTAAGTCTAGACAAGCAAGGTGCCCCCCCCATCAACAGGGAGACCCGGTGAGTCTCCAGTTGCTATGACAACAGGATGTCCTTTGTACAGTGAGCCTGGACCCACCCTGACTGTCCTTAACCCGAGGGGTCCAGGGACCAGCGGACCACAGCTGGAGCGGGTGGCTGGGGGTCACTGTCTCCCCGGGCCCGTGGGGAGACGCGATCGGCTGGTGTGGAGCGGCTCGGGCACGGGAGGAGCCGGGAGCCCCGCTGCCCCTCGCCTGGCTCCGGTCTGGCAGCAGGGATGCGGCTAAGGACACCTCCGTCCCCTGGGCCCGGCCTGTCCCTGCCTGTCCTCGGACGCAACCAAGGCTGCCCCTTCTCAGTCTCTCTGACTGCTGGCTGCCCACCGTCACGGTGCCAGGCGGGGGGGGGGGTCTGGTGCTAAAGACCCAGGCCCACGACCCGCTCCGAGAAGCTCAGGGCGCACGGCCTCGCCGACCCCGCTGCATCGGACCCCTGGGAGAATGCGCACCAGTGCCCCCCGCGCCGCTGGGCTGGGCGGGGAGAGGACACGGCTCCCGGGTCGGCCGCCAGGAGTTCTCACTCGGTGTTTGTCCGGCCGGCCTCGCGCCGGGTCCCTGTCCCATTGTCTCACTCGCGTCGGCGACTCTAGCCATTTGGACACCCAGCCCGATCCGCAGGCCCAGAGCAGTGGGGATGGATGGAAGCTGGCGCGACACCAGGACTTGGGCGTGTAAGCATCCCGTAGAACGGCCGTACAGCGGCCCCGGCCGAGGCCCTTCCCACACTGGGGCTGAAACACCGAGAGCTCAGCCCTGACAAGCAGCGCGATGCCGGGGGCTGCACACCACCAGGGAGGACCTGGTGTGTGAAGCTTTCTAAGGTTTGCCCTCCACGGCAGCCCCTGGCAGTGGGGTTGATGGGTATCTTAAAGTAGAAGTCTCCAGAGCAAGAACACAGATGTGGCAGGAGAAGAGCAGGGAAAGGAGGAGAAGAGGAGGAGAGGGAAGGAGAAGAGGAAGAGAGGGGGAGGAGAGGGGAAGGGAGCAAAAGAGAGGGGAGGGGAGGGGGAGGACAGGAGGGAGGGAAGCGACTCCTGCCCCCTTACCTTCTCTCCTCAGCTACCCTGGGCGCCACACATCACCGAGTCCCTGTCCTCCGTCTCCCTGGGGACCGTTTAAATGAAAGCTCATAACCATTGTGAGGGCTTATAATGAAAACAACCGATGCTGCTGATTAGGCCATTACTCTCGACGGTTAGAAAACATAACGAGCTCGCAAGGGGCTTTATCCGCTGACGTACAGCCGTCGGCCTCTCGTCTGACACCTCAAATTAGCAGCCGAAGCAGTCACAGCTGGGGTTTCTGTCTCAATATTTGTACCCGGCTCTAACGTGGCTTGGCGCCGGGTACACGTTATTTTTAAACACCCAGCTCTCACCCGCCAAGTCACATTCTACACGGGCTTCAGGTGTCACGTAAAACCCCCAGAAAGAAAGAAAATCAGCCGCGGCCGCCGAGGGCCTTTGATGGCACGGATTCTTGAACACCAGGACCGGCCCCCGGCTCTTCTTCACAACCTCTTCCTATGAGCCCCGGGAAGACATCTCCATCCTCCCAGCAGGGGGGAAGA